CGGCCCCCCGCTCTCCGCTCCCAAGGGAGCTGGAGAAATCCCGGGGCTCTTTTGCCCTCCCCTGTCACCAAGAACAGCACCGCCCCCTCCCCCGTGCCATGCAGTGGTAAAGCCTTACTTTCCCCGTGCGGTTAGCAAGTTTTGGGTGCTTCCTTGCTGTGCTCCTTCGATTAAATTGGGGGTGTAGCTGGAGCGAATCATCTATTTTCCACACTGGTCACGCTTCTTGGTTTCCTAGTTTTCCAGGACAAGCAGCGAGGAAACGGATCGATAAGGGTATTTAGGCATTTAATTCCCATTGAAGTTGATTTCATTTGGACTTGGCACCTAAAAGGGTTTGGGTGTTGTGGTTTTGTTTTTTTTTTATTAGGTGGGGGGGTAACCAGTAGTTTACAGGTTTTCTTTTCTGTTTTCTTTTAGGACCCTCTGTCACTATTACTCTGACTCCCCTAATCCACTTCTCCATTTATATATATATATATATATATATAGATATCTATATATATATATATAGATATATATATTTTAAAACCAGCTGTTGTCTTTCTCTTCTTGAAGGAAAAAAGGACTGTTTTGTCTGCTTATTCTTTCTCATCAATAGTGGGAGGAAAAAACTACTGTGTATTTCAGTTGATCAAGTGGGTTTTACATTTGCCCTGAATTTTATTTTTTAAAAAATACACATCTTGAAGCTAACAAACATACTTGTCAACTTCAGAGAACTTGACCTTCTTATAGATCTTCCTAGTTTCATATGGTTAGATACCATTGTGAAATACATATTTCCTTTTTTTTTTTAAACTTTGTTACTCATCTGTTATGTTTTCCACATCTAAGTGTCATGTCAGTTGTTTCTTTCTCCTTGCCTCTTCAACCCTATTTTGGTGTTGTTGACTTGATGTTTGGTATAAATTTTTCAGCGTTCTCACACAACCTTGGGAGAGCAATAGGGCTGTCTTTTACAGATATAGTGAGTAGATTGGCAGGCCAGAGGCTCTATCTCCTGTTTTCTCTGGAGCAAGAACAAATAAAATGAACAAGCAAAGTAAGTGCTTTTGCAATGGACCTGTTAAACTTCACTTCAGGGCTTGCTTACAAGAAGGAAAGAAATACTGAGACATATTGCTGAACTGAACAGAGATAAATTTTGTATCACGTCTTGTCATTTTGTAGTGTGATTGTCTTCATCTCAGTGTTTTATTGGACTTACTCATAAAGCAGATGATAATCTCATCTGATTCTCCATTTTCTACTCTGAGAGCTGATTTTACCTGAGCATCCGTTTCAGGTCTTTGTAACTGCTGCATCATACCTGTTTGGTCTTCTATGCAAACTACTTAATGTAAAAACTACATGCTGATTTTTACAAGGTTTTTTTCCCTTTATTTTCCTGAATTAGTTCATATGACTAAAGGATAAACATTTCTCCTGCCATTTTAGTGATGCTGGGGCTTAAAGGGTATGGATCCTGTCAGCATTATGTTGGGTTTGGCCAAACTATTAACAAGAATGAGCAGCCTTCAACTAGGAGTAATGTCAAAATATATTAAGCCATGACAGACTGAATGTTTTAGTTTTATGACTTTGGTATTCCGTCCACCTTTTATTGTAATTTATTTATCAGTTCAGTTATCTTCTGTAGTGGAGGACTGACACAGCAAAAAATCTCTTCGTTTCGATTATCAAATCTCTGTATGTAACCTGTTGCTTTGCGCTGTGAAGAGTTACTGTTGTATATCTGCATAGATAATTGCACTATTTGCAGTTTAAATCCGTTTCCTTTCCTGTGTGCTGGTAGCTGACTTGAAGCTCATTTCCTCGTGTTAGAGAATTGTTTCAGTAACCCCTCCCTCCCCTTTTTTCTTTTTGCCTTTTTTTTTTTTTTTTCTGGCCAGCCAGAAAGTAGCTCCGAATATTGTCATGTGAAGTATGAATGAGAACTGTTGTAGCAGGTTGTCTGGCCATGGATCTGGTAGGGGGATATTTTCATAGCAATTCTTCTGAAGGAGGGATGTCAAGCAGTGGTATACTGCAGGAGGTGGTGCAGTGAAATTGGATTGTAAACAGTGATGAAAGTCTGACCTTTCTCCAGCAAAACTGAACTTCCTCGTGGCCTAATGTACTATAACTCTCTCAGTGTTCACATCTGAAACAAACTCTCATTCTTCAAGTACTCTGCTGATAATGTGATGATAGTTGTTGAATAAGGAACTAACTTGGCTCTCTACTTCTCCCCGCAGTGCTTTAGTTTTGGTAATTGACTTTGTTCTAATATTTGTATTCTAGACTGAATACAGCAGTAATGCTAACTCTGGCAAGCAAGTTGAAGCGGGATGATGGTGTCAGAGGACCCCGTGCATCCAATCCAGCTTCTGATTCAACTCGGAGGGTGTCTGTTCGAGATAAATTACTTGTTAAAGGTGAAAAGAACTTATATTTAAATATTTGGGGATTTGGAGTTTGCAGATGTGTTGCCAGTAAACAATAGTAAATTGCATATAAAATGATTTCCAGAAGTATTTTAAAAATTGCTTGTGTCTTACCTCAGGATTTATACTGTAGAATATATATTGGCATATACCATATCCAACAGTTCTTTGCCCCTAGGACACTTACATTAATCGAATAATGCAAAATGCAAAAAGCCTCCGTGCTCTGCTGGAAAATGAATCCATCATTGGAACTGTGTCATCAATTAAAGCATCATCATAAAAAGTTGTCACATGAGTGTCACTAAATATATAGGAGGAGAATACCAGATGTGACTTGATCGGAAGGTGTTTTTTGAGCAACACTGTAACCACCTGTGACAGGAAAGTAAGTCCTGGAAGTAACATCAGTGTTCCGGTGGTCTTTAATGGTGTAGATCAGAGGCAATAAACTTTCAAAACCTTAAAGCAATGTGAAGGGATATTTTGTAGGCCTGGTGTCACTGGAAGCTGAGTATGAAGTAGTGAATAAAAAAACAGTACTCATTTTTGTGCTATGATATGGTCTGTTCTAGGAAGGCTACTGTAGGCTCTTACTAGCTGGCTTGCCCCTGGTGGGAAAGAAAGCCCCTAGACTTTTACTTTGTGGCTGTTCTGGGTAAATGAGATAGTTTGCGAGACAATAATTAAAACTAGTAAAATTGGGGACAGCTCTTTCGTGCTTTTCATTTTTTCTGTAGTATAGATAAGATTATATTTAAAAGTCCGTCAGTGCTGACATTTGGCAGTTACTATGGGCTTAAACTCAGGTGTACTCCCTCTGGTAATAATTGAGTGTTTTAATGGGTGAAGAGTGCAGCTTGATCCAGTGACAAGGAGTATGTTGTTTAGATTGGTGTTTCTGCTAGAAATGATCAATAGCGAATATACTGCTGTTGATGTGTAAGCTGTCACTATTAGGATTCACGCTAGTCAAAGGAAACACATTTCCTGGTCTTATTTCAGAATGACTTGAAACTGCTGGTATATTTTCCTGAATGACATTGCCTAACTCTAACATTGCATATGGGTTTTTTTTTTAATTAGGATAGATTCTGCCATGTAACTGTATACCAGAGCAAGGTTTCACTGCATGTGCTGCTGCCTTGGTGCACTGGGAAGCACATCAGCTAGACTGTAGGAACATTATATTCACCATTTTCTCTCCTTGCATTGTTCTAAGAGCAGGGAGTTTTAATACATGTTATACCCTGATGTGATAACTCTCACAAAGAGCTTGCTTTAGACTTTCAGTTTGGAAATCCTCAGTTAACTCCAGTTCTGAGCGGGAAGGGTATCAGCCAGGAGGAGTAAGCTCTTTAACCAGGCTAAGCTACAAAGCCAAATTACTAAATATATATAATCTGAGATTTTCACTAACCTACAGGTGTAGACTTGAGGGGGAAATAGCAGTGTAATACAAATACCCTTCAACTACAATGCCTGATATAGTGTGAGGTGCTGTAAGAAATTTTACTGTATCCTTTAGAGCAGTCATGTGTTTCAGTTTTATGGCATCCTTCTGACAAGGATGAGCGCTAGATTGTGATGTGATTGTGTGTCAAAGTTGTATCACATGGCTCTCCCAAAAGAGTTGTAGAAGCGGCTGTCAGTCTGGTTAGAACGGTTTCTGGACCAAAATGGGAACTGACAGTAGAAGTGGATCACTTCACTGAAAGTGAGAGAAAAATGTAGTAGCTAGTGTGAAAGACCTGTTGGGGATCTTCTCTTTTAAGCTACACTTTAAGACAAATTTAGGCCGTTAAATTACAAAAGTTGGTAGAACTTGCTCCAGCTCTGTCTGATGCAGCAGTGTCTACAGTGTCAAGAGCCTGAGTGGAGATGGACTTCTGATGTTGATAGTGGTTTTTAGGTCACATATAGATCTGCGGGAATGAGTTTGGTGGGGAGTGCAGAGCTGCCTGCTAAAGGTGTGCATACAGCGAGGGTGCCTTTTACTGCCTTGATTGTATGAAACTAATAGGGTGATGTATCAGGTGTGGAACAAAGTTGATGGGAGCCTGTAAGAGTATTTTGAAGTAGAAGTTGCTACTGATGTTTGTTTAGGCTGGAGTTATCAAACAAGCAGATGACAGTTGCAGAATGGGTGAAAGGCTTAATCAGGGCAATCTCCTGGCAACTGTGAATTAGAAAAAAATATCTGTTCTACAAAAGAGGAAAGAAATCCTGGCCATCAGTAAGGAAGGAGGAGATGAAAAAAGGTCCTGCGTGCTCTGTCCTTGTTTGTCCCAGCAGCTATGCTGAGATTAGTGCTGGTTCAGTTGTACCTCTTAACGGTGTTAGTACTGGTGGTTTTATTTTACTGTATAAAAGCCTCCGAGCCAAAGGAACAAGGGACTCTGGTCATGTACATTAAAAAGCTCAGTGATAGCTATGCTCTTTCCATAACACACATGGATCCTCTTAGCCTCAAATAAGTCTGTAGCTTCTGAGTCAGTAGGAGAACAGCAGGCAACTGGTCTGTGCAGTGTCCTCCACAGCAGCTTATGCGTGTGGTGAGCTGTCTTGGAAGCTTAGCTGAGGATGGTTTTTGGTGCAGTGTGCTAAATCCCACCGGGCCCTGGGAGCTGACAACAGGCTATGAACCAGGGTCAGATTGCTGTTTTTCTGTTCGAGTGATGATGATGATGATGTGCTGGAGAGACACTCTCTTATTCCTGATCCACAGTAAATTGGGGATAGTCTAATAAATTCTGCAGACAGATGTCTGCCAGTTTTACTAGAGGTATTGCCCAGACACAGCGTCTGGTTTTTATCTGGAGGTAAATTAAAGACAGCCTTGTTTGTGTTGATAGAGAGTTCACTCCAGGAAGGCATTACAGTATCTCTTTGAAGGATGTGTTGTCACACTGATAACCCTGCAGTCCTCAAATGTATGATGTACACTGACTGGTAAATAGATCAATGCCAGTTTGATTATGGGGTAGATGGCCATGACCCCAGCCACTGATAAATGTAGATGATGCTTGCAAACTTTGGCATAGACCAACTACGTATGTCTGCTAACTGATACTGCCTTGAAGTAGGAAAAATAAGTGATAGTTTAGGTATGATGTTAGCTATTTGCAACATATGGATGAGAAGAAAATTGAAAGTTGCCATTTGAAATACCTTTACTAAAGCTGGAATTATGTGAGCTATCAGCAGAATGCCATCAGGTGCTGTCCTTGGCTTTAGTGATGGATGCAAGTTAAACAGGCTATTTTCTGCTTCTGTGAAAAAGCTACTCTTAGAAAAACTAACAAAGAGCAACAGTATTTTAAGCTCTTCCTTTGCTTATACGTCCAATATTGATAGTTGAATATGTAACAATCAGGGCTCAGGACACTGTTTTGTTGGGTTATTTCATGGACATACTATGAAAGGAAAAACCTCTATCCCTGCAGTTTTTGTGTTGGGAAGTAATTCTGAGACAGCTGGATATTCTCTTCCAGCTGTTTTTCCTCTGTTGTGTTTGCCATGGCTGCTAAATGGGATTTGGTGGCAGCATGTCCCCTGCTGATTATCTCAGCAATGCACGTTTGGGAAAGTTAGCAGGGCACAAATGTCTGGGGTGGAGAGCATGGTGGTGGTTCTCAATCTGAAACCCTGGAAAGTCACAGGAAAACATCCACCACTTTGAAATCACTGAGTGTGGGAGGGTGAGGACTAGTAATTCAGGCTGCAAGTTCTTGGAGAGAGACTTTCTGGCCAAGGAGGGGTGGACTGGAGGGAGACCAAGTGGTGACTAATATATTTCAAGACAAATCAAACGGAGGAAATGCAGACAACTGGAGAAGGTAGAAAACAAATACTGATGTGAGGAGGAGGCGCAGACAGAAACGGTGCTTGAAGGGGTTCTGCTGCCTTTCTGGCCAGGGGAGAGGTTCTAGTAAAGCCCAACTTTGTTAAAAGTTCAGTGTGACTTATTCTTGAATCTCTATTTGCACTGAATTTTCAATATAGGTGCAGTTGGAGAGTAAGTCCCTAATATGTAGGCCTAGTATGTAAGCTAAAATAGAGCAAGCACTTGCTTTAGCAGCTTTCAATTTGCTCTGTGCTGCAGAGGCACTTTTTGATGTTAAATTAATCTCTAAGGGGGAACTTCATTAAGTTAGGAATAGGGGTTGCATGACTGCTCCTGCTGGATGCTCTGAGCCAGTGCTGAACTTGAAAGGCAGATCCTTTCTGAGAATTTGAAAGGATCTGAGGACAAGTCAAAATACTATTGTTTAATATTGTATAATATATGTGACTACTAAATTGAATTAAAGATAAAGAACATTCCAGGATGTCAGCAGTAGCAGTGATGTATATGCTTATGGATCACAAGGCTTATCACTTGAAATGCTTTTATATAGTGCACCTAAACATTATTCAGTCTAATATTACCAATGCTGCCTAGTTTGACTGTGATAGCTTGAAATAGCTTAATATCTAAGAAAATGAGTTAGCATGGTCTATTCCTCAGTCATCTTCAACAATTGTGGGTTTTACAACTAGATTTATATAAACCAGAAAATGTTTCAGGTGTGCATTTATAGAGGGAGGTTGGAAACTGATCATAAAAATGAGGTAAATCTGCATTGTAAGTAAAAATGAGGAGAATCCATGTGTTTTCTTCAAACTGTCAGGTGCGGTAATATTCTTCCTCGCAGTAGTAGGTGGGGAAAATTGGAGGAAGGGGGAGAATACTTTTTGTGAGAATCGATAAAAACCTTCCTTAACACTCTTGAAATTACTTGGGGCATTGTTTTGAAAACGCTGCATTAACTTCTGCACATGGCACAACTTAAATCACAAAAGCATTTCCTCTTCAGTGATGCTTCCTAGTGCCCCCTGCCATTCAGTCTTTTTATTTTGGAAGACAGGGAAATCAGCTTGATGAATGAGTGATTTATATTTATTGAAGAGGAAACTACTAGTTTACACTAAAATGCGTACAGCCTGACTGAAGCCAGTAAGACTCAACAAAAATTGAAGCTAATTAAAAAAATTATTACTGAGATTATTTTTTTTTTAAGATTTCACTGCCAGAGGTGCATGGTTCAATGTATTGCTTCACTTCTTATGCTCTGATTTTCAGCATACCTGACGGATGAGGTGATACATTGCAGAGTCAGAGATTTTGAACCACAGTGGCTTTTTCTATTTTGATGTCAGGATAACAAGTTTTGTAATAGTGTATAGAAGCTGAAGTATGTGATTTGATAGTATCTTGTTTAAAATAAACATTTGAAAGTGGAAGGAAAATGCACATCTCTTGCTCTGTCAAAAAGCTGGCAGTATTAGGTGGCTTGTTTGACTTCTAATACTGTCTGTACAGTTGTACAGTTCAGAGGAGCTGAGCAGGGAAAGTTATAAAGACAGATGGATAAGAATTAGGAGGCAAACAGCATTATACTGCTAGAATTAATACTTAGAAAATGGAATTTTTTTCAGAGTGTCAGTGTATTTATCTTCATCTCTGGCAGTCTTAAAGATGTACATTAAATAGGGACCTAAACAGAAGAGGGGGCTTTTTGGACAAAACCAGACATAAGTAAGTATTGCTGTGGATGGGAACGCTAATTTCAGTTGAGGAAATAATGCTTTCATTTGGTGTGCTTAAAACCAAACTCCAGTGGGAAGCATGTGGCCTGCCTCTTTGTGGCAAGGCTAGTAAACAAAGCACTTCTATATTCTGGGGGGGTGGGGGATGGGGAGGGAGCAGAACATGATTATAGTCTGTGTGTTACTGAATATAACATTCATGTGGGTGTCTCATAAACCATATGCCTGTACACACGTCAGGAGTGTGTGTTCCTATTTCTGTCCTGAGAATTGTCATGGGTAGGGAGAGTTATTGTTTGTGAAATAATTTATTAATAGCTCTGGTTGCTTATGTTGGGCTTAGCCTTCCCCTGATTTATGAAGTTCCTCAGCTGCTTCTGAGACATAATCAGTTTGCATTCAACTCTTCCAAAGTCTGGTAGGTTTAAGTTTAACCTTTCCCGTTTTTACTCTTTTTATGTTGTAAAATAGCATTTGCAACCGTTCAAGCAAGTGCATGCTGAGCCAAGAGCAGGACTCTGCAAATACACCTGCCACTTGGGTGTGCTTCTGCAGCAGATCACATAAGGTTTCCACAACACCAGACTGACTGGTGGGGAGCTAGTCTGGCTCTGGACTGACTGGATCCCAATTTCCTTTCAACTGCAGAAACTCTGGCATGTGTCTGCACTTAACAGCCTTTCAGACCTACCCAGGGTGGCTTATCGGAGTGGGTGCAGGGCTCCTGAGTTTGCCTCTTTTTGGCAATAAGCCCTCTTGACTGCGAGAGGAATTCATATGCTCCACACTGTTTCTGCAGCTCTGCGAAGCTAGGGCTGAGTGGGCCTTGATGAACACTGTTTTCCAGTGGGAGTTGTGGAGTGCTTTTGCACAGTATTTCATGACACCTGGGTTATCTGATTGTTTGTCTGGGCATCTTAAGGAATGGTGAGGTGCCAGGCTATGAATTGAGGCACAGATGCTGATTATCCACAAAGTATTATGAAACTATTTTCTTTACTGTTCAGCTGTAGTCATTTTTTGAAAGAGGGGGTCAGAAAGATTGTGAGATTTAAGTTTTTTCTTTCATTTAGTGAGGCTTTTGGAGCTCTTGGAAGTTCAGTGCGTTGGAGCTCTAGTTGGTGCTTATACGTGTTGCTTATTTACGAATCTATTAAACCATTCCATTAAGTTGGCAGAGTGCACAAGGGATATTTTCTTAGGGAGAATATTCTTGTCAGTGGTATTGCTTTATGCAGAAAATATATAACTTAAATCGTCATAATTTTAATAGAAATTGAATGATGTCGTCAAAATGTTTGCTTTTTGAGCGTCAAAATACAAAATTGACTTCAGTGTCAAGGCTTACTACCAGAGTCATAGAGTCTTCAAAACGCACAAGTGCTGTAGCTTTAGCCCACTAAATAATGCTGGTTATTGTTAATTGCCAATGTTTATATGGCACTGTTTTCTTACTCGATATTACTTTAGAAATTTAGATTATTGAAGCAGGTCTCTATATTTTATTATACCTTTACGAAGTTGTTTCATTCTTAAAGTGACTTGTTACAAAGCTGATCAGAAACTTTAATTTAGGGGAACTTGCCTTTGCTCACAAAACCTTTGTGTGTATTACTTTTTTTGACATAGCACTTAAAGATGTGGTGTAGTTGGGAACTGTCAGTGTGAGGTTAACAGTTGGACTAGATGATCTTCAAGGTCTTTTCCAACCTAGATGATTCTGTGATAGTTAACATAGCCTTCCCATGTGTTTGCGTATCTTCAAAGAAAGGGGCACGCTGTTCTGTACGCATGAGTGTGAGCACCTTTGTTTTCATCTTTTCACAAGAAGGCTTATTCTTGTGCCAAGAGAAGGGGAAACACAGAAGTGTGAATGCATTACAGGAAATTTTTTTTCCCCCTTCAAAGGAAGTATGGTGATCAGTAGTAACCTCTCTACTGAACCTTGAAGGAGGCAGAAGTGAGGCCTCAGCTCAGCAGAGCTGCTGCAGCTCAGCCATTGCTGGGTTTGAACATGCTCTGTTCCTTGTCTCCCTTTACCCTGTTGCCCTTTTCTCAGAATTGAAGCAAAGGGCGGGCAGGTTTCATTAAGCTGAACAACACACAAGCACAGAAAGCAATAAGGAAAACAGTCAATACCTTAAAATAAGAGCCAGGTCCTAAACTCTACCCTCTAGTGAAGATTGATAGTGCCTCCCACTATGATAGGCTGTTGAGTTTAAAGGGAAAGGGGTTGAAGAATGTTCTTACGATGGGTTTGTGTAGCTGCAGCCTTCAGTAGTTGGTTATGTGGGGTTTTTTTTCTAACCAGACAGGGGAAGGTAACAAGGAAGTCTTTGATTATAGCTGAAATTATATTTTTGGTATATTATAAAGACAGTACTCCTTGAAAACTTTTAGCAAAAGTATGCCCCCAGTATTTTTCAGCGTACAACTTCGGTTAAATCGGCTGTGGTTGCTCAGGTGTTGGAGTGTGGGATTTTAGAGCACAGTTGTGAATTTTTAGTTAAGTGTGAAACACAGTGCTTCTGTTTTGGTGGGGTTTTCTCCCAGGCTGCAGATGGAGGGATACCAGGGGTGTGCCAAGCAAGTGGGAGGTGGGAGTCAAATAAGCATCATGCTTGCTGCTTATACCAGCCAGTTTTGATAAGCTTGGATGCAAGAAAAGTTCTGGGGAATTAGTGAGTTCTTAATTGTGATGAGATGTTTGGATTGTGTGCCAAGAAATTGCTCTCCATATCTTAAACTGAATTACAGTTTTCTTTAGATGTATGTTTTTGAGAGTTGGTGTTGAAATCTCTTAGATGTTGTTAGCCCAAATAAATGGGCTGTGTCTGTGCAGACCAGAAAGTGAAGTTAGAAATCAAGAAGGGGGGAAAAAAGACTATAGGAATTTGATTAGGTTTCTTAAAATTTCATCTAGAAGTAAAAGGGGGAGGTATCTTGATGCATCTCATTCATACTTCTGTGAAATACAGGTAATAGTTGAAAGTAAGACTTCAGTAAAACACACAAAAGAGGAAAAAAGGATGTCTTCCAGGGAAGATAGCATGGCAAAGAAGGATTTAGGAATAAACTTCCCTTCCTAGGAGCTATGCAATTGAACTGGGTGACTTCCTTTTTTTTTTTTCTTTTTTTTTTTTTTTTTGTTAACTTCTAAGTTTTATGCATGGGTAATTAATAAATTAAATATTACTTGAACAGGAATGCATATCTATAGCAAACTGTACTGCAGGGCCAATATGCAACAGACACAGGGGCAAAAAAATCTTAACACTCCTGAAGTTTGTTCAACAGGGTAGAGGTTTGGGGGGAATTGTGCAGTGGGTGAAGTTGTTGCTGTGCCAAGTGCTTCAAGTGAAGGTTTGTCTTTGTGTTTTGGGGACCCTTATTGCTGGTTTCTGCAGACGGGACCACATCTAGTATGACAGTGCCCTTGAATTAGGGTTTCCATAGCTGTTTTCAAGTGTGTAGTAGATGGTATCATGCTTGGAGGCTTCCCTACAACAGCAGTGTATAATGTGGGGCAGTCTGTAGCTGGTGGTGGAGGAGCATTATCAGTCAGCTGCTGGAGACTGGTGATGCTTATGCAGGCAGTGAACCTCCTGTGCTTGTTTTCACTGTTGGACTGGCATCTGGATTCTTGAGGTTTTTCTGCTCTTGTGTTTTGTAGCCTGTGGAGTTCTGGCCTTCTGTATTTTAGTGCCTTATTTACACAAGGTTGGAGATTTGGATAATGCCACCTTTTGAAATGCTAGCACTTTGTGTATAAGAAGTGGTGGCGCTTCAGTCTTGGCAGAGCTGAACCTCCTAATCACAGTAGGATATGTTTGCGTTGTCTGTAGGGCAGATGAGAGTTTTTAGTAATGAATTGCATGGATTATAGAGAAATTTCAAGGTAAACCTCCAGTGCAGCTTTAAGTAAAAATTATTTACAGGCTGGTTTAAATTAGATCTGCTGGTTTGGAGTTCGAGAATGGTTTTATGCTTGCATAAATAACTGTTTTTTTTTTTTTTTTTTTTTCTCTTTCAACAGAGGTTGCAGAACTTGAAGCTAATTTACCTTGTAAGTATAGCATTTAAAGGCATGCATTTTCAGGGGAGAAGAACCAATGAACAGAATGTTTTGACTAAAGTATGAATGGTAAATGTATGTTATCTCTAGAGAAGGCTGTGTAAAACTGCTGCTTGGGTTTGAACAGGTTCTCTTTGTTGCTTCCTCAAGGGATTGTGGCAAGGTGGACCCTTACTAGTGTCCTTTGGAAGCATTATTGATCATTTGGCCCCAGAATTTGATTGCTGGGGCGGTGGGAGCTTCCCTCTCATGAAACACCCAAAATGTACCTGGAACTGAATAGTGCATTTATTACCTCACTCTGTTTTTTCCTCCATTCTCTCATTTTCAAAACAGGAGATGCAGATTTAGGAGCAGAGCAAATAGCTGAGTTCTCGGGAAACATATTAAGTCAGCCTAGTGCTTTTTCACTTCACATGCAACACACCTGATGTGTTTGTTAATAGTGAAAATACTCATGAAAAATGTTTTTTAAAACAAGTGATCCATATACCTTAAAAAAAAAAAATAAATGGTGGGTTTAGCCCTGGAATCTTACTTGTAATGTGTATTATGCTAAAAGCTGGAAATATTAATGGCCACTTTAAAATCGGGTTTTAAGAGCATGGGGTAAATGGCTTGTTGCTTCTAAAGCTGAGGGTAGATAGTTAAAAATCAAATATGTTTTCTGTTCCTTAGCTTTAGAAAGCCCAGTTCTGTAATGGACAGCAAAACACAAAGCCATTCTATAAAGGGGAATAAAGTTCCTACTTCTCTGTATTTGTTGCTAAGGGTGGGTGTTGGCAGTGAAGTTGAGTTGTTGCTGAGCTCCTTCCCTTTAAGTGTTGGCCAGAACAGCGTCATTTTGCCATGATTTCTTGGAATACAGGCAAGGACAACAAGTTATTGCCTAGTAAGCTCAGAAGCACATTCGGAGCCCATTACTCTCTGCATAACTTCCTGTAGTGCATGTTCCTGTTTCAGAGTAATTTAAGATATTTTCCCTGTAGGGAAAGAGGCATGAGCTGCTTGCAGCAGGCTGAGAGTGTACATGCAGGCTATTACCATTCTGTGCATTCACACTGTCTTGTCCATATGCTTATCTTGCAAAGAAAAGCAGTGAATATTCTCTCTGATTATGCTGGCAGGTAGTTTGTCATGTTTGTAGTCTTTCCCCATTTAAGGGAAGCTTTGACTTTTTTTTTTTTTTCTCCAGGTTAAACTTCGAATGCTGCTTCTGATGAGCACCTTCTATTTGCTAATGATTCTAAACTCACATCAATGCTCAGATCTTAAAAATGAGGGTTTTCAGTGTACAGACTGCCTGATGGGAGGAGTTACAAGGGGGGGAAAAATACAGAGCAGAAGCAGCAAAAAGGGAGGGCGGGAAGGGGCACTATATAACTCTTCCTTTCTGTAGGCTCTTTTTTCTTAAAGGCAATTATAGGTGGTTTTACACAGAGTAATTTTAACTTTTCTTCTATAGGATAACAGATGCCTGAGAAACACACATTGGGATTTGTAGTTACTACAGTGTGAATGCATTACTAGGGCTTGTGTACAGTTCTAGTTATTTTTTCAGGCAAATAGGGTCTGATACTATTTAGCTGCTTGACTACAGGAAAAGAACAGCCGGCTTGATAGGTTAAGAAGTGAAAGGCTGCATAATATGGATAATAATGTATCAGTGGGTATATGCATCTTCTGATGGCAGCTTGACAGCTTGTCTCTACCATAGTCAAGAAAAGCCAGTTTTGTGCATGGGAAGGCAACTTGGTTTGTGTCATCAAATGTGAACAAAGGGCTGTTATGCTGTGAACTTGCATCTGTTGAACTGAAACCACTGACTAGTTTCATCGGATTGATTTTTTTTTTTTTTTTTTTCCTAGGCTTGTTCTTCATTCTCACTACTATCCTTAGTCATCTAGTCTGAGAATAAAAACATAGTGTTTGGTTTGTAATGGTGCTCCATAACCGTTGCTGTTAATGTGTGTAATTGGTTACACAGAGGAAACCTGTTCAGCATGACAGCTGAACAGAGTCTTCACTGGCTTTTGGATGAGGCTTTCATTAAAGCTTGTATCTCATACCTTACAGGTATAAATAATCCTTTGTTAGCACAGGATTGTGATGGCATGACTTCTTGAAGACTTCAGGGTATGATCAAATGTTATGATACACATTACCATTAAAGAACTTATAAGAAAGAGATGCTCATTCTGTATGATGTCATCTTAGCATGTAGCTACTATCTATGGAGAAGACCAAATCGTTTGGCATTTTAAGGTCTGTGAGATGGCATGGTTTACTGAAAGGAATTAAGCTTCTTCCTCACAGCTCAAAGAGGTAAAGCTCCCTTACTGCAGGTGACCTGTAACTGTATAGGGAGGAGGTGCTTAGAAACAAAATGTAGGAGGACATTACTTGACTGGAAAGTAGGGATAAATCAGGGAGTGAATTTGGAGACTATGAAAGATGATACATTTGCTTTCCCAACAGTGGAGAACCAATTGTCTGATGTAAATTATTCTTTTGCTTCACAGGTACGTGTAAAGTGAATTTTCCTGACCCAAACAAGCTTCATTACTTTCAGCTAACTGTAATCCCAGGTAATTTTAAAAAACATGTTACTTTTGTTTCTGTGTGTGTTGGTATCTAGAAAGTAAAACTCTTAAGTTTACTCGAGATTCCAATAAACTTTCTAGTCAAAGGCTGACTGGCTGTAATACAATGATTACTTTATAGAAGCAATGGAGAAACTGGGCTGGACTTTGAGAACTAGATTCCAATTAAGAAGGCCATCAAAACTGAGCAGATTTAGGAAGTATTCAGGTTGTCTTTGATCACTTTAGAAACTTTTTTTCTCTCGGCCAGTTTCAAACTACCTTGTTTTATTTGCTGAGAAAAGTCTTGCACTATGTCCAAAGAAATTATTGTATTACACCCCTGTTTTGTTGCAAGTTTATTCTCTTCTGTAGATTGTTTGATTCTGTAGAAGAGATAGATGATAGATATAACACTAGTGGAAAACTTCAAATTATGCATGTCTGAAGATGCTTAAGAAGTAGGATTCTTTTAGTCTTTAAATATTCAAGTATGTGGAAATTCGATATTTTATTATTAATGCAACAGTATACTCCTCCTAATGTGCTGTTCAATAAAAACATTTTCAGAATTTATCATTTCCACCTAAATTTCTTAATAGCCATCTGAAATTAAAGAATTGGCGCTTATAGCTGTCCGTTTTAGAATGGGAAGTCATTTAATGGATGAATTTGTATGGAAGATTATTTAAATGCCACATGTACTTAGTATTTTTGCTGTGTGTTACCTTTGAGACTCTGTGCAACTTCTTAAATGAGAACCTTGATGTGTGTGCAGTACATGGAATTGTTTGAGTTAGATGTGCTGGGATCAGTATGTCCCTGCCAACTAATTCTTGTAGATGCACATTTTCTGTAGATTCTTATTGGCAACAAAATTCAAATGCAGTGTGACAGTCCTCCTGCTGACCTATAGAAATAATGGTTTACGTTTACCAGGGGATGTTTCTGATAATCCAGTATCTTGCAGTTAAACGGGCGCTAGATGTCACTGTTGGTGCTTTTTAGCCAAAATCAACTAGTCCTTCAGCAGGAGAAATCTTGGGTGGTCTTTGTTAACATGTCCATTCATGTGACTCCTTTTTGTGATGGAAAAATGAGTAAGACTGCCCTAGTCAGTGTAATAAAAAATAAATGCAAGTGCTATTGTAGAACTTTTTAACCTCTAGTTCGGTGTGGAAGATGTATTCATGTTTACTTGGTGAGTGTTTGTCTGCTTGCACCAGATGTCCTTCAGTTTATATGATGCTTTTATTCTATTTTAGAAATTAGTTGACTTTATAAGATCATCACTGTGTGTTAGGGATGTCTTGAATGTGAAACAATGATAGCTTCTTCATACTAATTCCAGGGTGTCTAAATACATAGTCATTTTTTTGTCTGCTAACTGCTGTGCAGCAAGATGCTGCAGTCAGAAGACAGTCACTGAGTGCAGAGCATGGTTTTTGCACTAGCTTCATTGCTGAAATGATCCTGGGAATGAGATGATCTTAATTAACATTTTGTTACTCTAAATATAGCTGCACAGCTGAAGTCTCTGCAGTTGCAGTCTGACCGAAGTAAACATCTATTTTCAGCTGTGCATAATTCAGGTACAGAACCTTGTGATCAGCTACAGCTTAGCACAGCACTCTAAAGGCAGAACATAACACATACCAAGAAAATCTTTGTAGCTTTCTGATTCCCTTCATGGTTGAAGTTTTTCTTTAGAGTACGGTAAATCTTAGTTTTCTCTGGGATAGCAGAGAGGCAGCTAAGTGGTTGTCAGAGAATTTTTCTGGCTCAAAGAGGCCAAAATCTTTGCTTGAAGCAACCATTTTTATAGTGTCTAAACAATGTTGCATGAATCTTGAGAGTCTGGAGGAAGAGCCAGTTTTCCTCTTCCTGCATGGAACTGTCTCTGGCATTGAGCAGCTGAGTTACTTTTAGAAATCCTGCTCATACATCTGGCTCTTAGGGGAGTACTTTGCAAGTATCGTAGAGTCACAGAATGGTTTGGGGGTTGGAAGGGACCTTTAAAACCCATCTATTTCCAACCCCCCTGCCATGGGCAGGGACACCTTCCACTAGATCAGGTTGCTCAAAGCCCTCCTGTCCAACCTGTACTTGAATATCTCTGTAGCTTTCCAGTTGTAGAACAAGAGCTAGGCTAAGCACAGCTGCGGGTTCCGGGTAGAATCTAATGTTGCTTTATAGTTTTCACTGTTAGGACCTATGTTGTAAGGACCTATGTGTAAGCCTGAGTCTGTAGTCTGCACAGCAAAGGGGTTCTTGCTGGCTCACTTCCTAAGGTTCTCAGCTTGCTTATCTGCAGTTACAGAGATTGCATCCTTCTATGACAGGTCTGCTAAAGGGGAGCTAATTGTTTTATATTTGTATTTTATGCTTAAATTCTCTTCTATTCTGGTTAATGTTAGAGCTTGATCTCTGTAACCATGTTTTATTAGGAATCTTACACCAAGACAGCTTCTGAAAGTACCTGGCTGTCAGGGTACTGTAAAGGTACTGCCTGAAAGTGGTTTTTAACCTTAGAAATGCCTTTTGCAGTCAGTGTTCTAGACATATGTTATTGACAAAGCCTGTTCTAGGGTGCTTTGTTTTATGCAGTCATTTCAAATGTGGCTGGTCTTGAAAGGACAGTGAAAAAAGCTCTTTACGTTCTCAAAGAGACTGACTTGAATAAGAAAGTAAACTTTACCATCAAACAAATACTTTCAGCTCCCTTGCTCTCCACTTCTCACAGAACTGTTCTTACTAAGTATTTAATGTGACAGTGAGTTTGAAATTAAAATGGATTTGTAGAAAATCTTGATGAGGGTGACTGCTTGTTTCACATAAAAAGTTACTTGTCCTCAAGAAATGCCTATTCCTTTGTTACAGCTTTCTGCAGTGCACCATGAGCAGATATATACTAGCACACACATGAAAATGGATAAGGCTTGGATTTTACTGCAATAGTGGACAAACTGTGTGTTCACAAGGCGAATACTGCTGGCTTTCTCTGCTGTCTGAAGCTTCTTTTTCCTTTTGTCATCTGAAACAGTTGTTCTGTTGTTGAAAAATGCCCTTATGCCACCACTTGCCTCTGTTCTTATTTTTGTGCCAGTGCCTTATTGGATCAAAAGCAAGGAAAAATAAGGAGATAGATGCTTACAATGTGGGCAGAGTCCTGCCTGCTGCACTGATATTTGGAGCACAAAATTGGAAGCTGAGTCTAAAACATGGTAGTGACCTGGAAAAAAAAAAAAAAAAAAAAAGGTGAGTTTAGGTAGCTTGCACATGAAGAAAACTAGAGGAATACGTAGTGTTAATGCAATTTTCCTGCACTTTCCAGACAGCTGGGGTAGTTTGGGGTTAGTGTGGTTGAGTCCTGTTCTTCAGGGAATAAAAGGTCTGTTTTCTGTTGTGCATGCTATAAAATGACAAGTGTTGGTGAGCTTGGCTGAGCGTTTCGACTGCTGATTCAAGGAGCTACTTACCAAAGCACATCCTTTGTGGCCTGTCCTAATTGTCTTGCATTTTCTTTTAAAGTGATAAAATAATTTAGTTTAGTATTTTCACAGTACTTTTAGCCATTGAAACACCTTACAAATGCAAACTAAAATTAGAGTTAGGTTGTTGATAATGAAATTCAAGACTGAAGTGGGAGGGATGCTTGCTCTGTTAGTACAGCTTGAAGACATAAATTTAAGCAGTAGGAGGAAAACTGAAGCTCAGACATATTCACTTTTTGCACAAGCCTCGTCAGTGGCCAACTTCCTAAGTTATGTGCTAAAGCTATTTTCTTTGACTGCTTTATTTATAGCACTTTCCTCACTATTAACTTTGCCAGAACTTCAGTTTTTCACACCACTGTTAAATGCCTAAAAACTGAGGGTCTTTGTCCCAATCTGTATGGGTGTTGTGGGACACAGGGCCAGAAACTACCATGTGGGAGAACCTATTTACTTGCCTGAGATGCTGTAAGATGACTTCATCGTGAAGGCTTATCTTGTTAATGCATTGCAAGATTTCTGGCTGGGGACTGAGGCTCTCCAGAGATAGGAATTTTTAATATACATTTGAGTGGTAATGAGTAGCATGCTTTATTGTTGTTTAATGAGAAGAGTTACAAACATACAGGGAGAACTGTAAAAAAAAGTGGGAGGAGAGATACTTTACTCTTACAATTTGGTAATTATGTCCTTGCTTATTTTGTAACAAAACCAGTAGGGTGCCCAGTGCGCTTTTTTTGGTTAGTGCTAGCATGGACTGATGCCAAAGTAAACCCAAAACATAAAATGCAAAGTTGTAATGCAAGGCAGTGATAAGTATTTGTATTTGAGGGAGACTCAATCGTGGAAGTACGTGGAAGTGACCTGTGGTGTGAGGTAGGGTGTGCTCTTAAGTCTTCCAGAGATTTCTGGGCCTTATGTAGAACACAGGAAAACAAAAGAAAATAGAAGTAATATATGAGGAATCTCTTACAGCCTGTGGAAGTGCCAATATGCAGTTAGAAAATGCTTGTGCTAATCTAAAACACTTTTGCGAACGGTCTGGTCCTGCTACTTTCCTTTTGCTGACACTGGTAATAAAATTTAACCCCTCTGTGCACCAGTTCATCCCAGTAATCCTGCAGGAAACTGCACTTTTTGCCATAATGGTTTTATATAGTGAGAAAAGGCTTGTCCCCTTCATCTGAGCTCACCTTGTCCAATTTCATCCTGCGTGTTGGCACTGGAAGTTTCTGCTGTGGCCAGGTGGAAGTGGAGCTATCCTGAGCGGGGTCTGTGTGGCAAGGAAGAGCACAGAAAGGAAAGAACAACCGTTCAGCTTTCCCTCCCTCCCTCCCCATGCATCTCCTTATCCACGTCAGCATGATCCTGCTGTCTGTGCGCTTGGAGCTGAGGGCCTACATTAATGTTCCTCCATGTGGCAGAGGCTGTGGGCCTGATGTTTTCAGTATGTAAAGAGATGTGGAGTGTGTTACTTCTCTTGCTACTTGACTGACAGGAATCTGACAGTCTTTTGGCAAGCTCTTCCCCCTTGGAGCTGTTCTTGAATGTTTCTTTTGGACAATTGTATTACAGTGAGGATTCATTAAATCTGAGGATTTTCTTTGACATAAGGCACATGTAGATACAGCCATTAACAGGCATCTATTTCATATTAGCAGGGGTGGAATTTAAAGAGCTGCTGCACACTTCACTCCAAATCCACAAAACCAAGGAACTATTGAAATAAAGCCAAGGAAAACAACTTGCTGCTGCTGGACTTACTGAGCAACCTTAGCAGTGTTGGAGTTTCTCCTTTAACCTTTTTATAGCAGCAACAGGCTTCTTCCTGTGCAAACACATGTGGGCATTTCATGCCATTGCATATATTGGGAAGTGATAGTTTAATAAGTGCTTGTGAGCATGAGGACAGTGGGGAGGCTTTGAGGTACATGGCTTGCACTGCAACAAACACTGAATTCCTGTATGGTGTTGCTTGTTTAAGTACCATCACTGAAAGACCTGAGATTATTTCAACTGTGGTTTTTAAAAGGAACAGCATCATGCTTGGAAATAGTGAGGATTCTTGACACTTGGTTAGGAAGCTATTATCATGTGCTAGATGGTGAATAAAGTGCAGTTAGCTGTGTCCTCTAGGGTAGGTTGGCAGTGCTTGAGGTGTTTGAACTCCTGGGGGATATTAGACCGTTTCCCTAATCATTCCTTTCCTGGAACAGTTAGTATCTTGCTTTGCATGTTTTGCATATTTGACAGGGTGCAGTTTCATCAAAAGGATATGGGTATAACTCACCTTTTACATCTTATTCATTAGAAATGGCTTGGTTTACTGATTTTTATCTCACTATATTTGAAAACAAAAGATAAATGCTTTTATCTTGTTTTTTTCCATAAAAATCAGTGCATATGCATTTACTTGCTGGTAAAGCATAATATGCCTGAGAAGGCTGCTTAGTAAATCAAACACACTTCAAAACTGAATTGGAGTGGAAATGGTGGATATATTTGAAAAGCATATGCTCTGGTCAGGTTATTAAAGTGAGGTTTGCAGTGGCTAAGGCTTGTGGCTTTGCACTGCACAGTTCAGTGTGGAGGCAGCTGTAAGTGTTGTGTGTGGTTGGGAAGACCAGCTGTGTTCTGTTCCCATACTCTGTGCCTATGCTGCTGTTCGTGTGCTGAACCTGTCAACAGTTTACACACAGGCTCCAGGTTGAGGTACTTCCCAGCAACTCTCTGCTGCTTTGTAGGCACAGGTCTTTTGGAGTGTGCGGTTGAGTCCCATCTTTGGCAGCATCAGCTTTTAACAACTCCCTTCCCCCTACAACTGAGGATTTGTGATATTTAACAGGGTGATGCTCTCTCCTTTTCAAGTAAGACATTGCAAAGAGAGATTGCTTGAGACTTGTGATTATGCAATTGAAGTGTGGAAGCTACAGGCTTGTACTGACAGTGGTGAGATTGTAGCATGGAGGGAAACCTGAGCAAGTGGATGTGGTGCATTGATTGGCATGAGAAAGTCAAAGGTCGTGCTAGATCTTTGTAGGGACTGGGAAGGCAGCAGGTCCAGAAAACAGCACCCTGAAAGAGGATTTTGATAACCTGTAGTAGAAGAGCTATTTCTTTTTTTTTTTGTCATTTGGAACAAGCTAGATAATAAGAAAACTCTTAATCTTTCTGTAAACTATAGATTGCTTCACAGAACTTCCCTTTGCAATGTTGGTTTAAAAAATAGAAAAAAAATACTGTCATACAATGATAACCAGCCTTCCTGACCTTGAAGCCTTCACCATGCCTGTACTGTGTGACAGAGAGCTAGACTACTCAAGGTACTTCAAGCCTGAGCAGTCTTCAGGTGTCCCAAACCCCCAGTGTGGTCTGAGTACCTGTCTGTTTCCCTTTCTTAATGAAAAAATCTCAATGCTGGCAATGCCAGATGGACACATTTCAGATCTCTTGCAAGCATTTCAGCTTCCAAGCACAGCCATTTCAAGAGCTGCTGGTTGACTATTATCCTATTACATTATCTCTGGTTAAATGCAACTTAATATTTTTAGATTTCATATTTTGAAATTTAGCCATTTTAATAATTCAGTATTGAGTCTGAGGTTGACAGAGGCAGGCAGATTTTGTTAACTGATACATCATCCAAAGATAATTTCAATAAAAGAGCTAACTTGCTCTTTTATTGTAGTACTCTCTGGAGCGTGCTATTGCACACCATTATTCATAATACTCAAAATATGTGACTGCTAGCACAAGTCTGGGAAGATGTGCTAAATTCTGGAGCAGGATTTAACATGCATTAGCAAGTGAAGTATGTATCCAGCTCGTTCCAAGGGTTGGTGTTGTGGTACCACATGCCACATGAGAAGTTCAATCAAAGGTTCCTCTAGCTTGGTATTGCCTGGTACTCTGATGAGGAAGGTGGATTTTCTAAGGTCACTGGGGGACTCTTGACACTTCTGACTTAGAATTTTCTGCTTTAGAGGTTCTGGGAGTGGAGGAAGACACTCTGTTCACACTCTTTGGACTAAGTGGCAGCTACTGTTATGGTGTAGGTAGGTTAAGTATTTGATGATAACCCTGTGCTGTTACTTTAATCTTTGTAATTACAGGTATTTTGTGTTACATGGTGTCCGTTATGTTCTCTTATTTAACTATTTTCTTTGGTTTGTCTTTTCTAGATGAGGGCTATTACCAAGGTGGAAAGTTTCAGTTTGAAATTGAAGTTCCTGATGCCTACAATATGGTGGTGAGTATTTGCTATTAATCTAATAGTTGTCATTTTAGATTTCCTCTCCAGATAATAGGACTTCAGAGGAACCTGGCATTAAGACTAAGAAGGGTTCTTCTGTTACTAAAATATCATGGGTTGGTAGAAAAATCTTGGTTGCCTGGAGTTTCTGGAGGTAGTTGGGGTAGTGTTACAAGTTGGATTTGGTTGCTCAAGGCTTGGGCCAGTTGGCATTTCCAAACCTCTTAGGATGGCGATTCCACTGCCTCTCTGGGTCTCTCTTCCAATATTTAGTTACCTTTGTTGTGGATTTTTTCCTGATACCAGGTCAGAATTTCCCTTTTTGCAGCTTCTCTATGGCCTCTTGCTTTATCACTGTGCCTCTCTAAGAAGAGCCTGACTCTGACTCCTCTATATCCTCCCCTTAGATGATTGTAGACAGCAATAGGGTCACCACCTTCAGCCTTCTGTTCTCCAGACTGAACAAATCCAGGTCCCTCAAATCTCCTTGTACTGCTTGTGCTCCAGTCTCATCACCATCTCAATGGCTGGCTATGGGGCTCACTCCAGTTTGTCAGTATATCTGGTATGAGGGAGTTCAAAATGAAACACAATAATTCTGAGGCAGTGTCATGAGTCCCAGGGAGTGGGAAGAGTAATTTCTCTGACTATTCTTTTGCGGTCCAGTGTTTGCAACCAAACAGCCTTGAGGTTTTTATTGCCTCAATTATACTGTGCCTAAAAGAAAAAAAAAAAAATTAATTTGCAACTGTCTGGCAGAAGCTGCTTGGAAGCTCAGATGAATCAGACCTGAGAGTCTCTCTCTGGCTGAGGTTCCACTCTTATATGTTCTCTCCTGTTAATTATTCTTGAGACCTGCACTTAATGATTGTTCTTACAAAAAATGATTTATCTAAGAAAAAGAATGAAACAGGTGAACAGAGGGGAAATTTTTTTGTTTGTTTTTAGTTTCTCTGGGGCCTTTAAACTTGTGCTTATAGTTCTGCTATGGGACTTAGGTGCTTAATCCCTTTTGAGGGCATATAGTGGAGGACATGGAAAGTGCAGATACGGTGACAAGTAGCCTCCTTTAGCACACTCCGCCAGTTCTACTGGTTGTCTCCTAGACTGTTTAGTTAAATATCTTTAAAAAATAACAATTGCAGTGGTTATTAAGCAAACAGCTTTTCAGAGGACCTACAAACTACTGCAGTATGTAGATAAATAGAAAGTTCCAGACAGCTTGGCCTTTCAGGAGTGAGAAATATCAGTATTTCATTTATTGTACTTTACTAAAATTTCAGGACTTTGCAAGGGAGGGAGGTGCAGTTACAGTAAAAATAACTTCAGACATTGTTTTCAGAGCTTAGCTGTCAAAAGAGCAAGATTGACTCCAAAAATGGCAAACAATTGAGGCACACATCTGGTTCTCGGGAATTACACCTGCCATTCTGTGTCCCAGTAGTTTGATACGTAAGGAAATTTGACTCATTTGAGCGCTTGAGTTGCAGTATTTGCATTTAGGTATATGAGTTGCAGGAAGAAGGAAGCCTTGCTTTGTTCTAGTTTGAATGGTTTTGATAATTTTCCTTGCTTTTGTAACTTTTTTCCAAGCCTTCTACTTTGTTTTCTTACTTTTGGTGTTGGTAGTTCAGAGCTCTTCTCTGAGAGGCTGAGGAATATGTAGGGGGGGATACTAGAGAAATGTTTCTGGGAAGACCTTTGACAAGCCTAAATTCAGCATCATATACATGTAGTAGTTGCAGTCACAGCATTGTTTATATACAAATATGAAGGAGGTGCAGTGGTCTGGAGTTTAATAGGTTGAATTCTCAGACCAATCTTCGAGGATGGAGAACTACTACTAGTAGAGTAGAAAGGTTATGTATCTGAAACTGGGGAAGTTGGGTCTGCATTCCAGAAGATGCCTTCACAAGTTTCCTAGTATTTCTTTATAGTCTACGAATACATGGGACATGCACTATATCTTATAAAAAAACCTCATGCTTATGGAGGACTATAGCACTTCTAAAAGAACTTTGAATTTTCCTCCTTTTTTTGATAGTTGTGCTTTCCTTTCATAGTAATATTATTTAAGGATTGTCTGCTCAAGCTATTTCTTAAGTGTTTAGGTTCCTGGCTGTCTTTATTGATATGGTATCTAAACCACCTACATGTACTAATAATGTTTGCAGTTGTATGGTTTTGGTTGTGGTTTTTAAGTTCTCTTAACCTCACCAAAGAATTTCATACTATAATGCAGGCCTCTCTTACTTGCACGTATAAGGCTATGCACACACTATAAGGCTATGCACACACTATAAAGACAAAGGGGGTCATTTAAGGTTGACATCATCCTTGTTGTAACTTGAATACATTGTGCCATTGCATACCTGAGAAACTTGGCCTTCAGTATAAAAGGGGAAACCCTGTCACGTTCTCTGCTGTCTAATTTTTTGTCACCTTCAGTAGTAGTGGTTTAACCACTGTGGCAGTGCTGGGCACAGGGGAAGATACATGATCTATACTCATATTAATTTCTTAAATTTTTGTGTTTAAGATGTTCACCTAAAGAACACTGCTGCAGGAAAGTATTTGCTGTGTTAACAGGAGAGCTGAATGTTAATTTTGATCTGGTGTTTTTTGATTCTCAATTGCTATAATTAAAAAAAAAATCTTCTGGTTTGTTACGGTTCCCTGCTCAGCATTGCCAGAAAATCTACAGCAAATGTTAATTAGATACCTTTAAATTCTCAGCACCTCTTCTTCAATACAAAAGTCAAAAGTTTGCCTTTTGTGCAATTTAGAAAGAAATGCAGTAGGTTGAATGCTCGATTATGGTCAGGTTATTAATGAAAATGTATATGTTCACAAATATTGAGATAATTATGCTGAGGCCGTGGTTTGTTTTCTGCCAGTCAGAATAAGACTGAAATAAGTGATGGCAGTGTATTTAATAGAACTTTTCAGACTTCCCAGTGCTCTTTCAGCCCATAAGCAAGATTGGGATATCGCATCTGCATCAAGCTCCTTGCAGGAGTGCTGAACGTGTTTGTGTTGGGAGTAAAAATACCAGACAAGACTGGCAAATCATTAGAGCCCTGCCCCATAGCCTGAATCCATTTTCTAGCTGATCTTTTTAGCCTGCAGAAAAAAAGAACATCTGTTTTTAAAGCTACAAAATGAATACTTTATAGTATAATTTCTGTAATGGCATCCTTTAATTTCTGTAGTATGCTGTTTCCAAAATGCTGTGCATTTGGTGCTACTCTGGGGAATTTTTTTTTTTGCCCTTCATCTCTCATAAGCAAGCATTCAGCTTCTGCACTAGGTAAAGAAGCAGATGCGTAGAATGGTGGCATAGTGGAAGAGTATGAGTATATAATTAGAAAGGAAAAACATGGATGATTTTGTCTTGTGAACTGCAGCCATGGTATACACTCTGTGCAGAGAGTAAAGCATTGGAGGCTGATTCGTAAAGTAGTGGCTCTGTGAATACAGAGAAGTAGTGTATCCTTGTGCTTTAGGTGTTACTGACTAGGATGTGCACTGATGTTTGGTACCTGGGCTATAAACTTCCTTAGTGCAGATTCAAGAGCCTAAAATGTGGGAAGGATGCCTTGCAGCATGGATGCTTTGGAGCAAGCCCTATTGAGAAGTGCTGCCTCTTGCTTGTGAACAAAGCACACAGCTGGCCAGGGTTTAATCAGACTTCTATACCATTTTGCTGCTGTACTAAGTGTTGGAAATATTTATTATGATTATCTGTAAGGCAGTAAAATAGTACAAGTGTTCTCCCATTGTATCCATAATTAGCTGAACATATTTAAGCTGTTAAACATGTGGATAATTACAGAAGCACCTGAGCTTGAGAACTGGAAAGGGTTCCTATTTTTAATCATCTGTTGGAGGCATGAGGATGGTTCAGAGAGATTTGTGCTACAGTGCTAGCAGTAATTTGTGTCACCCCCCCCTCCGACAGGCCAATGGGCTGCATTTCACCCTGAGCTTTTCAGAAAGGCTGAAGAGAGGTAAGAGAGCTCACCACAGGCTTTTCTTAAAGCAGTGTGCTTCCCAAAGAGGGGAACTCTTCCAAGTGCTGCAGTTGTGCATTGTAGTGTTGTCTAGTCCAATGATTATGTTTTCATTGTTGCTGATTTAGTCTTGTAATTGAGCAAGTATTGATTGCTGCTGAAACAAGCAATAATCAAGCGAAATGGACCTGATGGTACCTGTGGTCTGTAAACAATCTTTTTCCTACACTGCTGCCCTTCGAAGGCAACATCCAAGAAGTTGCATGTCTCGGTAATCTTTTTGAGTTGGTTCAGTCAGCACACTAATGAGTCCTTGACTCCACTTGGCTTCATCTTTTAGTATTTACTCTCTCTAGTGTTCTCAGTTAAATTTTTGCTGCCTGATTAAGGCAGACCTGGGATCTTTTATTTTTTTTTCTCTCTGTGTTAGTGTGGAACTACTACAAAGAACATTAAAAGTTATTGCTCACCCTTGAAACTTCCGTATTAGAAATGGGGCCAGAATGAGAAATTCTGTTCATCCTTTTTCTGGGGCCTCTGAGCACACAGTCAGGTGATGCTTCCTGCAGCCCTAAGGAAGGAAGTAGAGTTGGTCGTGCTCCCAAGGACACAAGCATATAAACACAGTCCTGAGTGGAAAGGCCTCTGCTTCCCAGGGACAGTTGGATTAAAAAATATCCTGAAAGGAGGATTTCATCTTGTACATGTCACGAAAATTTCTTCGAAAAGAAATTTGTATACATCAGATAATCTGTGCACCTTCTGTAAGCATCTGATTTAGGCTGGCTGATGGAGCCTTGGGAAAACCTGGTGTCACATCTGCAGAATCCTCTGCTCGCATCCAATCTCTTTTATGCTTGATTTTTTTTTTTTTTTTTAATAACACTGTTTTAGGGTCATGCCATAGATGGAAACAGTAGGCTTGAGCTTTTGATGTTTTCTGGACTCAGTGTAGTTCTCCTCATTCTCTCCATTTTGTGAGTTCCAAGAGGTACCTGAGAGGCCTTTTTCCTTCTAAAGTTGGAGCTAATCTGTGTGGAAAGATACTATGATGAGAAAAGTAAGGATACTGATATTTAAATTTTAAGTTATTTTAGGGCATTAAAAGTCTTTGAAGATGAATGCTTAATTTTATCAGTTCTGAATTGTTTAAAAAGTTTTAAATTTAAAAAATTAATTCTTCTGTAAAGATAGCTGCTAAAATATTAAAAGAAATTCCAGTCTCTGTTAGTATAGGAGGGCTTTTTCCTGTCCCAGTCACAAAGTGTGGTACGTACTTGCTCTGTGGTTCAAAGCACTTCATATTTCATGATATTTGGGAAGAAAAATGGCTGATCCATGCTTGCATATCCCTTCGTGTCTGAAATTTGCCCTCAATACAGAATCACAGAATCATCTAAGTTGGAAAAGACCTTGAAGATTATCCAGTCCAGCCATTTACCTAACAGTTCCCAACTACACCAGATCCCTCAACTCTGGGTCAACCCAACTCTTAAACCCCTCCAGGAATGGGGACCCCACCATCTCACTGGGCAGCCCATTCCAACGCCCAACAGCCCCTTCTGTAAAGAAATGCTTCCTAATATCCAGTCTAAACCTTCCCTGGCACAATTTGAGGCCATTGCTTCTTGTCCTGTTGCTTATTACTTGGTTAAAAAGACTCATCCCCCCTCTCTGCACCCTCCTTTCAGGGCTGTAGAGGGCGATGAGATCTCCCCTCAGCCTCCTCTTCTACAGACTAAACCTCCTCAGTTCCCTCAGCCGTTCCTTGTAAGACATGTGCTCCAGACCCTTCACCAGCTTCGTTGCATACTTTCCCACTGTGCTATTCTTTATATCCTTAGCAGGTGTGCAGAGTGAAGGAAAGACTTCTTTAACAATGTAATATATTATTTAGCAGGTAGCCTGTGGACTGTTTTCTTTGGTGAGGGGATATTGTGTCAGAACAGAAAGCAGTTGATACTGATACAGATGTTGCAGAGGAATCATGAGGAGAAAACTGGAGCACAGTTAGTTAATTCTGTAGTGTCTGATCAAACTACCATGTCGTTAGAAATACTAAAATCTGTTCTTAAGCTGTCCCTTGGCATTTTAAAGTATTATTCTTGTTAGGGAATAGGTTGTGCATTGAGGAGCTTTTGTGTAAATCGAACAGAAGTTTGTTAGCATTTGTGCTTACAAAACCTGCCAGGAGTGTTTCTGTCCATACAGATACCAGAGGAAGCTGTGAAACAGCAAGCAAAACATTTAATGGTGTACAAAGCAACTGTCTAAAGCATTAAGTGCTGCTGCCTGACCTCTGTCTCTGCAGCATCTGTTGCCCAAGCACTACATTTTTGGTTGACTGGCTGCCCAGAAATAGAGGTCGGTAGGAGATGGGAGCAAATGTTTAAAATAAATCAATCAGGTGACCAAGGGATTAATTGATTTTTAAAATACTAATAAACAAGCTGCCTTCTTTTCTGGCTTGAGGTACAGCTGATGAAATAAAGGTAGCTACAAGACTAGGGACCTGGTGCTTTAAGGAGTGGGACCTGATTAATAGTAAAGATCTGGTTTAATGTTCACATAAAACTAAACTGTCTGCCACTGCAAGCTGAGCCACGTTTGCAGCCTCTGTGGTTCTGACATGTGATGATGCCACATTTCTGCTAGGAACCCCATCCCTTCTCTAGAGAAAAGGTTGTGAAGTGAAAAACTTGTTACAGGACAGATAAAACATATATGTATTAGTACCCCTGTCATATTAGAGTGATTGGCTTGCCAAATTGATCAAGATCTGAAACTGTTAGTTAAGTTCACTTATTGATTAGCACTTTTTTATGTCCAATCTCTCATTTGGTGAGAATAAGGGAGGGGAGAGAATAATTGCTGCTTTTAAAGAAATGAGGCAAACCTGAACTTCCACCAAGACCAAAGTCAGTATATGTGTAGTTCTTAAATGCTTGCAACACTTTCTTGTACCATCTATATTCACTGATATGTTGAAGTGGACTGAGAATGGATGAAAGTCAAATGGTTTCCCTTATCAAAACTAATGAGAGATCCTGAAAGATAAATGGCTGCTTAGAAATGCAGAAGAAAATTAATCCATTCGCTGTTGTTACCCCCAGTTAAGGTTGGATCTACCTGTACAGCTTTCAGTTTCGGAGGTGAAGCAGGAGTTTGAGCAATGAAATAAATGCATTTTGTAAAGTTTGTTGTGCAAAGTGTCACAGGTATGATCTGGTTGGAGGTATTCAAGTGAAACATCATCCCAGGGAAATCTTGTGTGGATTTGTTGATCTAAGGAAGACTCAAAGATGACTTGGAGCGAGCTTGAAGGAGAAGTTTTGTCTGAAGATAAATTTGATGGGAGTGCTACAGTTGTCCTGTCTGTCTAACAGAAGAAAAAGGAGGGAGAAAGAAAAGCTTTGTCTTAACTGTCAGGAGTGGGCTTTTTTCTAATTTTTAGCAATGAAGAATACTTTGAAAGGATAAAGGAGTTCTTTTGTTTCCATGATACAAAAAATGAGACACCAGTTAATTTACTCAGTGTAAGGATTTGGGGATATTTTTTTAAGATTTAGTTTGTATCAAGCTTTTTTTTTTTTTTTTTCTCCCTACTCTCCAATACATTCCCTGTTTGAAGGAGCATTTGGTAGAAAATTACTCTTTCATCTTAATCTACTGGCATGGAATAAATACTGCTGCTTTCCCTTTCTTGAGAACTAGACATAATCTTTCAAAACAATGTGAAGGTGTAACTAATTAAAAGTGCTGTTAGAGAACTTTGAAGAACAGCATTTGTTTTGAAGGTAAAAAGTGTGGAGACTTTTCATACATGCCACTTAATTGTGAATGATGCTGTGATCCAGCACTGGGGTAGTCAGTGTCCCTTGAGTTATTGGACAAACATGAAATAAGACTGGAGAAAAGTCAACATTACATTATGAATTGCAGATTTGTTGTGGTGATAGGTGCTTCTTCTTTTCATGCCAGACAGATAAGTTAATGGTAGCTCACTTCATTGCATATTTTCGTATCTCTTTTCCAAGGAGTCATAGTTAAAAAAATATTTTACTAAAAAGATAATTGGTAAATTGAGAACAAAGCAATGAGACAAAACACATTGTGGTACTATGCAAATACTGCTATTAGCTGTTTTGTCTCTTGACTGAAGACTTCATGGGAAGCAGCAGAGGAAAATAGCTCCACATCTATATTATGTGATTTAATTGAAGTTATGAAATGTACTGGTCTGTGCTGATGTATTCCAGTACACTTACTGTAAGAAATCATCTGCTTGATTGAAAGCTGCAAATTGCAATTTGGAGACCATGGATGGAACAACGTGCTGTTGCTAAGCTACCAGAATTTTTATGACCCGCTCTTTATTTACTTCACAAAACTAGAGCAAATGAGACTGTATTTTAAGAATCTGTATTTCAAAACCTGCTATGGATCTGGTGATCTTGACTGAAAAGAAGTTTGGTGGATTTTTATATTGGTGCCTTAAGTTTGGATATGATGTGCCTTCTTGATACCTCCTTGTGATACCTCCTATTCAATTGTGAACAGGAAGCTCTGCCTTTAAAAGAAGATGTTCTTTTGTCTTAATTATTATCATTGCGTCCTTTGATGGTTTTTAACAAAACCCTGATTTAGATAAGTCTTGCAGGAAAACACTTAGTAGTTTTCCATTTTAAATTCCTGTCTTACTAGTTAAGTGTTAAGAAACTGAATGACATGCAGTGTTTTCTTTCCCTTGAAGGCAGAAGAGAGTAAGTTTTCTTGGCTTTCTTTAATGTTATGCTTTTCTAAGAAAAAGCCTAATACCAGCCCAGCTTTTTTGAAGACTTTGGAGAAACTAAAAGGACAGAGAAAGCTGGTGTAACTCCTGAAGGTTATATTATCAGGGTCTTTAGCATACAAACATAGGCTCTGAATATCAAATATTTTTCTGTTCTGTGACTTGTAACAGTGCTAGGGTTTTATTTTAAATTATAACATTGTAACTTGTTTTCTCTCCTGGCAGCCTCCAAAGGTAAAATGCTTGACAAGAATCTGGCATCCGAACATTACAGAGACGGGAGAAATCTGCCTAAGGTAGCAACAGCATTCTGTTTTTTTTTAACCTTGGCGGTTTGTCTGTGTGATAAACATTGTATGTGATTTTCTTTCTAGTATCTTTTTCAGCAGATTCTGCAAATCAGTGGTGTGTGACTCTTAAGAACTTAGAAATCTACTGAAAGTATTTTTCTTGCTGTGCGCTAGACACCATGAGGTGCCTGGCTTTTCAGGTTCAGACTTAATGTTTTGTTCTATTTGGAGTGAAAATGTAAACTCCAACCTAATCAAAACTTTGTGGGTTTTTCTCCTTCCATAAATGAATAGTCCTTAGGCCATGAGAGGGCTTAAGGCTTTCCTTGTTTAATTGCCTGAATGTGTTGAAGTGCTTGAAAACCATTTATATATCAAAAAGGAAGGAAAAAGTGTTCCTTAAACTTGGACAGTAATTACTGTATAGTTGCTATTTGTTTATTTTAACATTTAATATCTGCTATAAGACACGTGTGCCAATTAAAACAGAGTTGAGGGAGTCTAAGTCAAGGTATGAAGCCTGAAAGCTTTGCTTTACCAAGGTGAGAGGCTTATGTTGCTGGGTGGATTTTCTTGATCATAAATGTGGCCTCTTCAAAATCAGTTTCTGAAACTTTGTTTAATTCCAGTGTTTCATCATGAGTACCTGATGGTGAAATTGGTCAGAAACTGAAAAGAAACAGAAGTGAGAAGCATGACTGTAATTTTTCAAGTTAATGGGACATAAAAGAAAAAGTAGATGAAGCAGAAGCAATGAATATAAGTGAGATTGAAAGGTATTTTGAAAATTCAAAGCAGTTACCACCTTGTGTAGCAAATTAGCGCTTAGGAAAAATTTAGCTTTTTTTCTTCTAGATTTAAAAATCATTTTAGTGCTGTGTTCAAGGTCCTGGTGAAAATTAAGTTTTCACAGGGCAATCTGTCACACTTCACAGACAGGACAGGCTGATCAGCTTGATAACAGCTAAAGAGCTGATATCTGTGCTTTTAGCCATAGTGGTCTGCTTCATGCTTCTGGGAAGCTTGTATTGTCCAAGGGTGATATAAACCATAACATACAGGAGGCTGTAGTATGTTCCTGGTGCTCGACAGTGTCAGACTGCAGCAGATTTACAGGCAACTAGGGCTGGCGTCCATAGATTTTTACCTCACTTGGGGATTGGAGGATTTAAAAGCACTGGAGAAAAATACGAAATCCTCTGAGCCTGCCTGAGAATCTTGTTGTCCAGATATTTGGAGCTGTATGCTGGTCATGCAGGAAGATTGTTTTGGCAAATATGTATTGCTACTTTTAGCAAATTTTTCAGACCTGTGGTATTTCTCAGTGCCACCTGGAACTGTTGCATTTTACACAGCTGAACTTTTCACTCGACAGTAGGGAGACTGATTTGAGGATTATGTTTTTACAGTTTAAATTCCACCATAGTCCTTGTGGCTTAGTGGAGAAAGCTTAGACGCTTTGAATCAAATAATGTAAGTAAAGGAATAATTGAGCTTTTTGGAACCAGGAAACAAGAAATACTAGACACCAAATGATAGCTAAAAGTTTAAGCTCTGACTACAGTGCAGCATCTTCTGAGGTTAAATAAAGACTCACATTCTTGGATATTTCAGTGTTTCTTGTCTTTAAATGGTTTTAATTATGAAAGATGAACATAGTGTTGGAACATCATAATTCTAATGCAATTATTTTTTCAACATCTGTATTGAAACATCAGCTTTATTTGATTGTCAGATACTTTAACATACCAAACCTTTGAAATGTCTTACCATTTAGATGGAAAAACTAAAATAATTTAGATTGCTTTATGCCTGTTATAGTGGAGAATGCACTTAGCTATAGTACCTGCAATCAACTTATACAAGAGTCTTTACATTAAAATAGCTTCAGTTATTTTTAAAAGCAGAAAAAATTTCTTTATCAGTATTTTCCCCAATTGTCTTTTGCTAAACATACCTCATGGTATGTGTTGGTTTGATAATCACCCCTGAATTAAAACATACCAAATTATTAAGCTTGTAGTCAAATGTAATAGTTTAAGGCAGGAAAAGTATTGTTTCTTTGTGCTTTATGGATTGCAGTTACTCTGGGCCATATTAGTTAGGTCTGCACTGTAGCTGTGGATATTCACTCCACTGCACATGTAGATAGAAGACACTAAGAAACCTAGAAAGGATATGCTTGTTCACTGCATAACACTAGTTGACTACTTTTTTGACAGTGTAAAGCACGTGACTGACTGTTTTTCTTTTTCCCCATATTGATGTGATCTCTGCCTGAGGTATTCTTTTTCCTTCTTGACTGCTTAAGTTTTTAGACCAGTTTAATTACTTAAAAATTTCAGTGTTTTTCTGCTATGTGGTGAGGGGGTCAGTGTTGATGGGTGTATCTTTTTTGTCAGGTGTTGTTAGTTAAGGTTTGGTTGCTTTATGATGCAATATTAAAGGGTGCCGAATGGAGAAGTGTTTGAAGACTGATTAATTCTATCTAGTAGAGCTCAGTGTTGCAATTTCTCCAGTTATAAAAGCTGATTAAGTTGATTGCTTGTTTCTGTTCCCCAGTGCTCTTCCCAGTCTCCTCAACTGTGTCAATGTGGAAACAAAAAGCTCTTTAGAAAGACTTTCTACACCAATTGCTCCACTCATCTGGTCTATATGATGGCCTCCAGAATGGTTGCACTGGTGGTGCTGGGTTGAGCAGGGAGGTGGGCAGCAGGAGGTGAGCAAGAGAATAACCCCTCTAATGTGTGTCTGCCAGCAGAGCGTTTCTGGAGTGGTTTTACAGCTTTTTAATTCACACTTACCTTGAATAATACTTTCTGTTGGCAAAAGGAAGGCAGAAGTTCTTTTTGGAACTGACATTTTATGTTGATAAATTTGTTCATCTGAGATCTTTACAGAAAGCAGGTTTTCTCCAGGATTGATCTCCCATTACAGTAATTTTTAGTCACTTAAGCTGTAAATCACGTTAGCTGAATCTCAGAAAGTTTTAAGCTTGCTAGAGCCAGGCAGTTTCCAGTTTAGTTGATGTTTTTGCAAGGTATCTTTAGGATGCTGTGTATTTAAAAAGAAAAAAAATTCCTCAAAGCTTTTCTTCATTCGGGAATTATGAAATGAGAAGATATTTGTGAAAACAAAAGCTGAGCAGCTGACTGGTCACATCAGTGGCTGTTTTGGTTACTATAGTTTCAAAAATAGTGATTTTTGCAGTCTTCCCATAGGAACTCAAGATATGAGGATTTGAAATCATGTTCTGGGAGGTTTCCTTAGATACAAACACAAGATGCTAAGGTGCAATTATCAGTTCCAGTCCCCTTTATGATTGAGGACACGCTTGGCTTCTCTCAGACCCTACTACATCTGAAGACGAAGCAGATGGAAAGTGTTTTACTGTCCTTCCCTGCTCCTGGTGAAGTTCCCTGCTGGACAAACTCCTGCTCATGACACTGCACTCCTGTCAGCCCTGCTGCTTCTGCCCCAAGGCATGCCCTCACTCACCAACTTCAGTACTTTGCAATGCTGCAAAATTGAACAGTTCGTTTACCCCTCTCTTTACTCTTGCAAATTAATTCTCAAGCATCACAAGGGAGGCTTCTGAATGTTTATTCAATCTGAATAGTACTAGATGAGCTTTCTGGCACTCCTGTATGAGACAGCAAAGTCCTGGCAATTTTAGAATAGTCACTTCAAGTAAACAGGTTTTCCTGCCCATCAGGTGTCTTGAAACCCTGGTAGAACAGGTGGCTTTTGTCATCTGTGTGGCAGCTCATCAGAGGCAGCTTCTTGAAGCATTGAGTGGGTGAGAAACTCTGCTGGTTGTGCCATTTGAAAAATTCCTAGTAGCCCAGCTCCTCTGTGGCAGCAGGACCTGTGGTTGACAGGTCTTTAAATGGAAGCTAAATGCTGATGCTTGCTCATCTACTAAACTAGTTGATGATGTGTTTTGTGCATTTCTACTCATTCTGGTATTCATTCTGCTGTGTGTATGATGCTCTGAGAGCAGATCACCATTCTCAACTCTCTGGCAGTTATATCTAGGTCATCCCCATGGAGAGCAGGAGATGCAGTTTCTCTAGACATGCTGTGCTAGGAAAAGGCTTTGATTAGGGACCTAATGATCATTCACAATCTGTAGGAAGAAAGAAGATGCTGCTCTAAAAATGAGTTATATCAGCAAATGAGAAATATTAGGCAAAGGTACACCTATCTATCTACATTCTTTTCTGCCAGACCTCTGTGAAGGCTATGAGTGTCTCCTCTCTGAGTCCTGGCTGCTGATGTCCCAATCTGGAGATGTGCAGAGAGAGGTCTGCAGTGTTGGGAAGCTGGAAGGGTGTTAATGAGGCTTAGCTGATGTGCTCCGGCACTTTGAGCTCTATCGGTGGACTTTTTAATGCTTTTTTTTTTTTGGGGGGGGTGTGTGTGTTAACATTCCTTGCTCTTAAGTTCACGGTGAACTGTATGAAGAGATAAAGGGAAGTACTGTAGCAGAAAGCAAGCAAGTTAAAAAGTCTGTTTACCCAAAACATGAAAATCCTGGCTCTTACCTGTTCAGCATTTTGACTTTTACTTTTTTAATATGAATAAAAAATCACAGCCATGAGATATTATTTTTAATGTTCTTGAAATTAGTTTTGAGCTGCACTAGTAGTAATAGCATATTTTTTTTTCCTTTTAAAGGCAGAGAAATGAGATTAGAAGCACAGTTAAGATGGAATGGTCTCATTAGTATGGTTGTACATTGAACAAGGAATAATGCTAATTGTGGTATATTTCCTTGGATTAAAAACTCAGTGCATTCAATAAATAACTATATGGGTAGCCTGTATGGTTCAGTCATCTACTGTAATTTAAAAATGAATTAATACATGTCATCCTGAAAATTGGTAAAACCTGATAGTTTAAGAGTATTTCACTTTAACCCTGTCATTTCAGTGTCAGAAACTGCTGGTGGTGATGAATTTTCATGTTTTGCTGTATGAGTTTTCAGTTTTAGATTACTTAAGAGGAAGATGTGATTGTGAAATGATGCTTCAGGGAGTTTTCTAGGCTTTCTCATTCAGACTATTAATTTTGCTTTCACAAATGTGAGCAAGACTTCAGCTCATTTCTTAATTATGCTCTCATCTCAAATATTTTTACTTCTCATAACTGCTGATGTTTTGACCTGAAAGGAATGCCTAACCAACTGAATACACCTCAATGATTTCAACTTGTAAATAGGTCAACAGCTTCACTGGACTTAATATCCAGTGTTATGAAGGTTATATAAAACTTCTATACAGTATATCTGTATATAGGAAAGTTGGTATCTTAATTATCTGTATTAATATTTGTACGTATTTATATTGAAATTCAAAAGCATGTATTATAGTTTATAAGGAACTTTTTCCTCCTGTAAGCGATCTCTCTTGCCCAGAGTAGTCGTCTTTATGATTTCCATCTGGGGATGTGTGGGATTGAGTTTGTATGTAAAGCCTTAAAACATTCTGTTGCAATCTAGCTCACCTGCTGAAAGGATTGCAGGACCCTGCTCCTAGGCTGTCCTGCACCCACAGGGAGGCTCGAGATGCATATGTTCATGTTATGGTTGTTGGTGAGCTGTCCTGAGCAGACAGGCCACAACCATCTCACTTCCCTATTCCTTCTTTTAAGAAGCTGAAATCCTCTCACAGAAAAGATGATGATAATCCTCTTTATTTCTAATTAGATAACCCACCAAAAATACCCTTTTTTGGATGGAAATGTGTGGATTTGGTGAGAGGTCATTCTGTAAGACTGTCTCATCACCAAAGGTAAACAGATTCTAAACTGGAGCATATATGTCTGTGTGCTCAGGGAAAATAAAAGGTTCAATGTCGAGACTATCACAAGGATTTCTGTCACAATTATTTTGCTTGATGAAAATAATTCAGTTTTGTTGACAAAAATTGAACTCTGATCAGGAAATCTGTAATGACACTCTGTAGAATGTCATTTGAGGAAGGCATATCAATTTTGTGCTTTAATATCCCAGTAGCAGGTAATAGTGCAAGAGGTCTGTAATTCCTATGGTGCAATTACTTCCAAAGATCTTAATGCTTTCTGAGAAGATTTCTGAGGTTGTTTAACTAGAAGTTGCACTGTATAATATATGTGTCTTTTTTCCAGTTTATTGAGAGAACATTCAATTGATGGCACTGGCTGGGCTCCAACTAGAACATTAAAGGTACCATTTCCTTTTAGATACATACATCAAACTAGATATATCTTTTAAAATACTTCTGTGGAAGTGTTTTTTTCAGTTTGCTCTAGAAACAGCTAAATTTTTTGTCTTTCAACAAGTGTCAGTGGCAATACTGAAACTACAAGTACAGTGCTATCTGATTATAGAAATGTTTGCTAGTTTTAGCTTAGCTGTACAAATACTGCTTTGATCGATAAAAGGTTTTGTAGAATGGTGTGGCTGCACGTGACCCTGAGAAACAATGCTCAGTAAGGGTGGTCTGCTTTTTTTTTTTTGTTTTACCCAGGCAACAAATACAAGAACATGACATGAGCAGAACTAACAGTAATCCAGAACCCTCATAACTTCCATTGTAATGATATTACTGACAAACCAATAGTCCATCTTCTCTGCCCTGCCAACTTCCTCTGAGTAAGAGGAATGTGGAAAAGTGAAAGGCAAGTTGCATCTGAGAAAAACACCATGTAGTACAAAATCAGTGTAGTTACTTGGACTCTGTTTCATCCCCAGTGTTTAAAGGGGGAGCAACGCATCTGCAGTTAGCTACTTCATAAAGCAGGAGAGAACTAACTGCCTCTGCCCTTTAACCTTGCCTCAAATGTAATTTTATCTCATTTGCTAAAATGTAATTGAAATCTGGCCCCATCAATTGCTGACAGTTGTAGCAGAAGTTGGTCCCACCACAGCTGGGCAGTGTTAACAAATTGAGAGTCATGGTTCTTGTATGATACTCTTGGGGAGATTGTCACAAAGGACATGTGGGTCGGTCAGCACCATGACTACTCTTGTCTTGCTACAGGAAGCGGTTCATTGTCCATTTACTGTTACGTGACCTTGCTGCCAGAAGAGTCTTGCAGAGCACTGAGCAATAATCTCACTTTCGCTTTTACCAGGAACCCTGCCCAAACTGACTCTTCAAGAATGTTACTTACATTAGGTAGATAAAGGGAACATATGTAATGTTCTTGTTTCTTTTCAAAAGGCAAATTGAAAATGAGTTTTATCTAACACTTGATTTCCTTTTTGGCATTGTGTATGCGATCTGTGACTTTCCTCAGTCTGTAAAATCGCTTCATGAGTATCTGGCTTCCTGGGAAGAGAAGCAAAATCAGTGTGTGTGTGTTTTGTGGGTTTTCTTAAACACCCTTTCCCTACTTTTTTTTTTTTCATTAGCTGTATGATTTCGGTTTACCTCTTGTGTTTCTGTTTTCATAATGTTTTAAATCGAGATGCTGACTGGATAATTAACTGGTTCAGTTCCTGTCCCTGTATTTCATTCCCAGCTAAAGTTTTTGGACTACAAGTGTTAAGCTTCAACCATTAGAAAACTAGTACACCAATACTGCAACTGGATAAGAATGTACATATATTTTTATCTGCTCTCCTAGCTTTGTTCCTGGTATCTTTCTTAAATAGATTAAAATACTGTCTCGTGTTAAGGCTATGAGTGGGAATAACTGCTGACATCTAGTGTAGCTAACTTCCTGTCCTTAGGGATGATGGAGATGCATATGGATCTTCTTTTCCATTTTATTCTTTGCATGTGATTTAATTTCATAGATTAAATGTCCTGGAATCCCAACTACCAGGTGACTCAAGTTACTAAATAATATGAAGCATTTTAGGGTGGTTTTACCTTCAGTAAGTTAGAGGGGGGAAAAAAACCCAACATCTGTAACCCCAAACAAAAAAACTTTGAGGGTGTTGAAATGAAAGATTCAGCAAGAGAAAAGGAGATAGTAGCCTAACTTTTAAAAGAAAAAAAAGATAATCCAGCATTGCCCTTGGATTTTGTTTTCTCCCTCATGGGCACTGAAGCACCACAATTGCAAGCTCACATTTTATAACTTAAAAAAAATCCCACCCCAAATTGAAAAGTTTTAATTCCTTTTTTTTTGTCTTCAGAGTCTCCATTTTAAGTAAATGTGCAGTTTCAGTAAGTGTTCTCTCACTTGTCATGTTGTCACGATATTTTTTGTGATGACATCTCAAATCACAAGGACCACATGTTGGTCCTGCCTTCCAAGTTGTGCTTCTGTAGAAACACGGTAGTTACACTATGCTTCTAGTACTTAAAAAATAGCTTGAAAAAGAAAATAGAGCAGAACTGGCCGTTGGGGATGTTGGGAAGCTACAAGCACTATTTTGCTTGGGATACAAATTGTAATTAGAAGATAACTAGCATCTGGAGTGAGTCTGTTCTTTGTCAAAGACGTTCTTTGTTCATTGCAAGTATGCTCTTTGAAAGGACTAGTAAACATGGGAAAGGTGGTTCTTGGTCAGAGCCAGGGTTCCTGACAGCCATGCTGGCAAGTGCTCTTTCAGATCTCTGGCTGATTGTCACCTGTAAAGCTTCATGCGTACCTTCCTATGTGTTTTAAAGCTTGATTAGTGTCCAAGTGCTTAGATTCCAGGCTACACATGCTTCTGAGTTGGAAAAATATGCAGTTGTGCTGGTTTATTAGCAGCATGGCCTCACAGTCATTTTCTGTCAGTGTGTGTTAATAACTGTGGTAGGTACGTGTTAACAATAGACCATAGAAATACATGAAACAGCGAGTGACTGGTAGCAGATAAGAGCCATGAGATGTGACCCAGGTTACTTTTATGTCTTAACACACCACCTGCACCCACTAATCCAACCTTCTTGAATCGTTTGTTTTCAACGTTTGGACACCATGGTTTGGAGACCCTGCTCATCTCCCAAGGTGAAATATTGTGTGAACTTGTGCAGTAGCGCTATGGATAGTATCTGGTCTTGGCAAATGATAGACTTGAAAGTCACTATTTCCTGATCCACTCATCAATAATATGAAGCCAGCCTGGTCTTCTGGAGGACTAGTACCCAAATTTGTCCAATAAGGCACTCTAAAACACTATTACAATATTTGAGAATGGGGGTGTACTGTGTTTCTGTGATTAAAAAGTGGCAGGCATTACTAATGCAGTCATTCTGAGTGTGTTAGTAAAACCATTCGAATAGATAACAAAGAACTTCAAAAGCCACATGCACAAACCAGCTATGCAGTACTCTACTGTATGCGTTCTTGTTATGTGCTTAACCTTTTAGAAGGCTTTAAGTTTTAGAAGTTTTAGATTGTGTCTCATCTGTAGCCTTGTGGTGGCAGCAGAGCTCTTACGTTAAAAATCCTTCAAAATAAACTGCTGTGACCTTTATACGCTTTGGTATCAAATGGGTAGAAACATGAAGAGACATGTAATTGATGCCTTTTAACTTTCTGAAATAAAAATTAAAATCTTGTAAATACTCTGTGAAGTTGTCTTTTAAGTGTAGAGAATTCTTAAGGAGGGGAAAAAGCTAACTCAATTTTGTTTTCTAGCATTTTGTTGCACTCAGTGTTGTCTCATCCATGTTTGCATTCTCTTTAAGTTACTAAGTGTTGAGCATTATCTTTTTTCCACTTCTTCTTGCTACTGAATGCATTTCTATGGACTGCTGTGAAAAGCAGCCTGTGTACTAGTGAAGGCACTAAAGAATGTGCTATTTCTGAGCTCCTGTATTAGATACTTTTTTAATCAGGTTATGAAGAAAGTTGGACTTAAACCCTGAAACAGTTCATTGGTAGGTTAATGTTTTAAAGAAATCTATATATACTTTTTAAATCACGATGCGATTGTAAATGATTTCTTTATCCATAGTAACACTTCTGAATCCTAAATGCTTAGATAATTTCTGATAGCAGTTTGGTCCACAGACTATGGATTGTGTAAAAACTGATGCAGTGCTTTCTAACTGATCTTTGTGTAATCTTTTACTTCTTTATAGCAAGCTATGAGTTAGCAACAGGAGCTTATTTACCTTTCAGTCTCCATTCTGTTATGTTCTGTACCATTTTATTGCATACTTCTTTCTTTCCTAAAACAGAATATTCATAAAGCTGAGGACTGCTTAAGTTATTTTTGGCCTTTCCTCAGACTGTCTGAACTGGCTTTTCTCCTGGTTTTAGGTTTGATGGTCAAAACTGAAGTTCTCCAGACAGAAAGCAAATAGATGGTTTTAATTCCATTCTGTTCTCGGATTTTTATGTGCATGGAGATACCAGCTTTTAAATACCCAGTATGCAGTAACACTATTGCTGTTGCTCAGATATCCTGCTTCTTCACCCTTGATTCCAGTTTCAGACTCAGAAGTCCTCAACATGCACTTCCTTGTACCTTATTTGCCATGAGTATCATCTGTTAAGATAGGCCTCCCTAGTATTCATCAGCTTTCTCTCAAATGCTTGTTTTCACTTTGCAATAAAATTATCTTGAAGAAGTGGATCTGTGTATTGTGATTGCCTAATTGGTTCTAAAAGTCAAGCTGTTCCTTCTGCAGTTATCTCTAATAAACTATGACTGGAGATTGGTCAGTGACTGATTTATGAACCATAAAAATAATCAAAGCACACTGTGCAACTCTGACTCAGAGGGCTGAGCTGTTATTAAAATAATTATAGAAATAAAAATAATAAAACCAGTATTTTTAAATGTATGATGAATGTTCACAAGGTCCTTTTATTTGTAACACTGTTCTGATGGAGTCTCAGATAATTGGAGAAGTATTTTCTTTAGTATTTTTGAGTTTACTGGTAAGGTGTATATGCATTTCAGTTCTTCGCCAAGATACTTGAAAGAGATGGGTTTTGTCATTTTTGTATTACTGCTATCAGGAACAGGGATGGGAAACATTGAGGTAGTCTTAAACTATAGATAGCAGCCAGATTTTCATACCCACCTGTAGGAAAACATTTTTTTTAAAGTAATTCCTTTCCCATAACTTCAGATACTAGGTTAAGAAATACCTGTCTGTGCTATTAGATTACCTAATCTAAAAGGTATTAAGACTTGTTTACAATAAACTGTTGCTATTTGGAGTTTATTCTTAAGAGGCTTCCTTATTTAATTAGTGTTTAATAATAAATGGGAAAATACGCCCTGTTTATTGCATTGGTTCTGCTGTTGTCTTTAGGCAGTAAAAT